GTCTGAATCGGAATTACAACTGAACTCTGAGGTAAGAAATTTATATTAAAACAATTCTATAATTCGACAAAACAATATATTTGCTATTTATATAAAGTTTCAATATATTTCGTCAAACAATAGAATTATCTGTCGCTGGCAAAGTACACATTGCCTTATTGCTGATCACGCCCTATCCTTGAGAACTCGCAAAGAGCACCAAGTGGAAGGTCATGTTAAGAAATGCATGAGTGACGGCGGTGCCACGGTTTACGAGCGGGAGATCTCTCAATTATGCGAAGCCAATTTCAAACCGAATTGAAAGTGGACACGGCGTCACTTCCATTAGCTCATAAGACTTGAGGATGGAAAGAAAGGAAGCTCACAGGAAAAGTCCAGCTGCAAGCCAATGTAGTCAAATATATCTTAATTGCATCATGCTTGTGTTCCTCAATACAATACTTTTATTTTCCGTCGTTACACAAGCTTGTTGTTCAAAATCATATAAAATTTCACATAATGTAACAATTTTATGTGAAATTTTATATGATTTTGAACAACAAGCTTGTGTAACGACGGAAAATAAAAGTATTGTATTGAGGAACACAAGCATGATGCAATTAAGATATAAAAAAAAAATATAAAATGTACAAGTTCAAGGGTTAAAACATGAAGAAGTATTTGAGCAGTGGTGTTAAAAAACCACTTTAAGAACGCCTAAAACCACGTATCTTTATTAACCCTTTGAAGTCGAAACTCAAATTCACAAAGATTAATCGGTAAACGGTGTTAAAGGTCACACTGAGAAAGACACGAAACTCGTAAATACAGAAAGTCGACTTATAAATAGTTGAAGCAGGTGGGACACGTCGTTGTCATTGGAATTTGAAGGGTCAATATCCTTTTGTATGTTAAAGACTGTAAATATAATGACGGTGAGAATTTATGAATATTTTAATTCTCACAAATTTTAATTATGTACTTGTAGTGTGATAACTTGTGTTGGGCAAGATCGTGGTCTAGGCAACACGGGGTTTTCCTCCGGGGGCTTCCCCGGTTTCTCTGTGGCATCCCAACAATTACTCCATTCACACACAGAAGCAGGCAATGGCAAACCACTTCTGGATCATCTGCCAAGAACGTATATGAACAGGTCCCAGTCCGAGAAAAGGATGGAAGGATCCTGTTCATATGGACCTGTCGTCACACAGAACACTAAATAAATAAATAAATAAATAATAAGTGTAGTTGAGGTGTAATTGAAAGGGACTGTTAGAATGGTCGGATAATTGAAAATGTTGGATAATACGTAATACTAATGAAAAAGACGAGGGTAACACGGCCGACAACATTCTCTTCAGCTACTGGTTGCATATTGTCGCCTTTACTTAGCCATCGGGTTTTTGTTCCCTAGAAATAACCACTTTCTTTCTCTTTTCACTTGGAATGTTAATAAAAACAAATCAATAAATTCTAAGACATTATAAACTTCCGTCAACAAATTAAAGTACAACCGCACTCGTGTAATCTAAGCCAATAGCAAAGAAATCTAAGGCAACGGAGTACATAAAATGTCGAAGGGGCGTGGTAGGGGACTCTGATTCATTCGGATTCATGAAAAGTTGACTGTTGATAAAATGGAGCGTTCCGACACGGCACGTCGGATAAACAAGACGAAGGCTGGCGAGTTCTCACGACGGTTGCGCCATGTACTCTGGTAGAAGTTTACCGACGTTTCAGAGGTGCTTGGCGCCTCCATTATCAGGACGATAGTGAACAACTACATAACACAACATCTCAGAAAACAATTTATCTTAATGCAGAAGGCTGTAAGTGAATACGACAAAATATTATCATTCCAAAAAAATTCAATAAGTTAATGTTCATTATCGTTGTCAAATGTTTGAATAAAATTACACGTTGTGTTTAACTAAAACATTCTGTGCTACTGTAGTGCACATTCAGTAAATATAATAAATAAACAATACAACATACAACAACAAAAACACATAACATCAATACAACATTAGGAAGACTGCAGACAATTTCCATGCAACTACAACCAAATATCTACGGCATTTAACACTGCCAGAAAAAACAATAAAAGCAGGACCACGTATTCGAACCACATCATCGCAGTGAACTTACACAAACAAGTGTTATAACCCGATATCTATTTATTAGAATTGTTTTGGCAATTTAAATAAGGTTATAAATTAGTATCGTGCAACACAAATAAATTCTACTTTGATCTGAAATATATATATAATAAAAAATAAAAACAAAACACAACATAAGATAATAATTAATAACGTAAATAAGTACAATTTAACAAGACACACAATATAATGGCTCAATTTGAAATAATATTAACACAGTTTACAATAGAAAATAATACATAATATAATAGAATATCCAGTAGAAAACAGATTACGAAGTAGGTTATTATACTATATATTGGTCTGGAGATGACATGATGGAACATGACACCATGAAAGATGTATCTTTTTATAAAATAGAGATGTTTTGGAATTAAAAATGAATATCTCTAAAGTGAAACTTTACTAAGTTGTCATAATATGCTTCATGGTCCTGGCTTCGTAAATTTGTTTCCAAATATTTTTCGTCCAGTAAGCTGTAGAACCCCATCTTTTTTTTTCCGCTCAGAATGTTAAATAATGTCCATCAGCATTTCGGTAATAGAAAGAAATATGACAGAAAACACTTATTAATATATTGCATAAGCCTAACGGTGAAAGCTGTGAAAATATACTGAATAAATTTTGAATTTCTCGGGCCGCCACTATGAGGTAATTTCAGGGCAGAAAATTTTGATTTGAAGGAATCAGAACCAGTGTCCGAAAACAGTCAAAGTATTTGTCCCTACACAAATTACAAAAATCAACAAAGCTTAATGTGACTTCATTTTATTTGATAAACATTACATTACACATTATTAATGAAAATTAATAATCTGCGATTCTTCGAACTCAGTTTAACAGGCAGCAGAAGTTGACAAGACGACGAACACTATCCATCGAAACTAGTTCAGAAATGCATTTACGCCACGAATTCTAAATATAAAACTGAAAGTAAACATTCACTGTGGGAACGTGCCTTGTTCCAGAACGCTCCATCAGTGACTGAAGCTATCTGAAGAGTCCTACGCTCTGTAGTGCAGTGATCGATGGAGCTTTTAAAACATTTAGTGGCCTTGTGGGAAATCACGACGGCTGGCCGGACAATATAAACAGAGACACGTGTCTCCGTCCCTTCATCCACAGTCCTTTATCTTCTTCTCTTATCACACAACTCTTTCTTCTGGTGTTGACATCGAACGAATGGGCAGAAACGAAAATCCCGTTATTTATGTAACCGTTGATTAACCTAACCTCACTAATCCACACTGAAGCGTTCCAAGGAAAGCGACTGCGCTTGTCTTAATATTGTTGTTGTCCCTTTTGTTTGTAACAGTGTAATGTGGTTCTCCAGGTACCCGCCAGGCCCGCGTACCCTCAGTTCTTGCAGGCATAAATGTTTGTTCTGTGTTTGGAACAGGCCACGAAGAAAATAGATTTAAAATGAAGAGATAAACATGGCAACATGTCCACTGTCGCAATTCACTGAACCGAAACACACAAACTGACACATATCACGCTTGAATAAACCGATTTTATGAAACATATTATTCATTTCAGCAAATTTATACCGTACAGTTAGTGATGCATATGACGCAAGGGGTGCAGAAATTATTAAATGGGATCATTTAATTAATTTTCAATAACACTAACCGCTCAAAATAATAACAGGCATTAGACACTCGTAAAAACATTGCAGAAATTTTGCATTCCGTGTATTGGAATATCTGAGAAATTAAGAGTCGCGAGTGGAATACAGGTTCCAGGCTCCAGTACAAGCTTCCATCAACACGATACTGAATCTTCTGTCAAAACACATGGAATGTCTTTATTAAACAAATAACAACTTCACACGGAGAAAACTGATTAGTAATTTTCTATTGTCCTGGCATTCGTCCGGAAGGTTCGAGGAAAACTACGATAAACCTGACTCCGAATTCGGGCCTGGAATCTCCAGACATCACAGGGTGCAGTATGTTTCCTAAATAATTTTCTGTTTTTCCCACCATAAGGTGCGGTGTTTCCCGCTATAAATTTCTGTGTTCCCGCATTTAGGTGAAGTGTTCCCGCTAAGGATCGGTACGTGGCCGGTAACTACGGGCGATACAACTGATTTTAATGGCGGAAATTGTTAGAAAATATACGTAGCACCATAACCCGTCCTAGTTACTAGGGCGAGCACTGACACGCGATGACACTCTGTTCACCTGCAGCTACTACGATCGGACTTGGCGACAGTTTGTTCCTCACAAACAAATTCACAACAGACAGTTAATCTGTTTCGCGGACGTAACCCCAAAGCTTTCCGTCGTCAGAAAGCGGACAATTTCATTTTAAAACATGGCAGAAACGAAAGACGTAATAAAGTAAACGAGGAAGAAAATACAACTAAATAAAAAGGAATCAGAAGACAGGAACAGAGACAAATCAACGAAGACAAGAATTCTGCCCCCAAATGCAAAACTCACATCGAATCAGTCGACATATCGTATTTTCCCCTTCGGAATGTCTACTTATTTCTTTCTAATGTTAACTAACTTCATATTACTATTAAAAGTATCTATATCCTGCCATACTGTTAAGAAATCGCTTTCCCTTTTTGAATTCTTTGTTTCTCGTATTATTAAAGTCTCACTTGCAATGAAACTAGCCCACTAGTTGCCAAACTGATAATTTAGTAACTACCAGAAAAGGTGCACGAAGTTACATAGAAAACACAAGCGATAAGAATTGTCAAAGGCAAGATGTCTCACCTCCAGATTGCGCTCCCCATTTATATAAACGATATTGTTGCAACCGAGTCACATCAACATAACAATAACGAGTTAATAATTTCACTTAAAAATTAAAATTATACAATAACGAGTAATTTAATGTGCAGACCTGTTGCTGCACTGCTGACAGGCGAAGCACTCCAGGTGGTACACGTTGTTCCTGGCCCTCATCACCAATTCGAAGGCAGGGATCACTTTAGAGCACGCAGAGCAAAGTCCATTGTTGCCAAATAATCTGCGGGTCAGAAATATATTGTTAGTCTGTGTTACTTCGTTGCAGACGAATGCCCGTTAAATTACGGGTAGCGGGTATAAATTTAAGAATTTACCTACGCATCAACCCGCCAGATAACTCTGATCCCGAAGATAACTGTCTTCTGGGCTGTGGCGCCGTGTAGACTGGTAGAAGTTTACAACGTATCAGAAATCTTCACTGCCTCCATCATCAAGGTGGGGAAAATTACACGGCGATACAACTCAGAAGACAGCCATTTTCATACTTACCGCCCTAAGAACCCAGAGTCCAACTCTGCTCCCGTCGTAACAAAAATAATAACAAATGTAATAGTGCCAAAATGAGAAAGATATACTCTCCAGAGTACATAGTACTTGGAAATACATTCTTTACGTCACATCCGATGGGCGAGACACTTCATAATCGCTATAATAATAAAATAATTTAAAATCACTACCAGTTATCACAAAGGAAGCCACATTTGTGTCAAATAATTCATATGGCCAATGATAGAGGCACGACTGGTTCGTTTGACCACTGGCAGATGACAGCACAAGCAACAGCGTTATCGTAGTGGATCATGGGTAGTGGCTTCATCTAGGAACATCAACCTTCTACCTGACAGGTTCGAGAATTCGACACGTTTGTTCATCCAATTGTAGGAAATTCAAAATTATGGGCATGTAATAGCCTCCAATGGTATAACATCAGTACTAAACGTCATAAAAATCCGTCAAACTGTTCTCGAGTTATACGCGTGCAGACGGGTATAACGAGCAATGATACCATCTCAAATGAAATCGCAGAGGATCACCTCCCTAGTTCAGCGTCCGTCATGTTGTTATGGCCTATTATATGTAATTAGAAAAAGTTCGAGTTTCCAAATGCATAACGTCCCCGCAAAATAACAAAAAATTTCGTTCACCTATTCTCGGGTTATATGTTATAATGGTAACCTATAGTTCGTTAAGGCCACTGATAGATGGCACCACATCTCTGACTGTAAGACATGACAGATAAGCAGAACGCCTCACGAGGTTTTCTTTACGCTTCAGCTTAGACTGAGAACACCAAACAATACATGCATGATCTGAAGCCTACGAGGCAACTAAGTATAATAAATTATTCTCGGGCTACATCTCCGTCCTCGTCCTGAGGGTACTTAGTGCCACTGTATTAGAGTGCGAAGATGGTTCTCGAAACGTTGGTGTTTTCTTCAATAAGCCAACTTACACGGCTGGTAGCCCGACAAGAATTTATTACACCAAACAGTGTAGTAACATTCATACCATAACGGTAGAAACATGACAATTATAAATTTGAGTGTTGTTTCGTATGGGAATGGAACTTGGTATTCAACCCTTAGCGAAGAATATATACTGAGATCGCTTTTATCAGAGGATTCAGAGGAGAATATAAAACACAAGAGGGAGAAATTGATAGGAGGATGAAGGAAATTACATAATGTGGAGGTTCACCAAACAGTATTGGAGTTATCAGATGGAGAAGAGGGGCAAGTGTACTGACACAGATATGAAGGACACAGGGCGTAGACTGCTTTAGGATATTTGTGGACCCGGTGACTGATTCCAAGAAAGTCGGAGAATTTCTTGACAAACTAAACGACTATTAACTTCTTAAGAAGAACTCTGTTTCATGGTTTAAATGAGTTATAGTAGCAGAAGGAAGATCAGTTGTAGTATTTTGTTTGAAGACAGGTATTACTTGAAACCAGTAGATGAAGATACTTGCTAACCATAGTCTCTAGATAGTATTACATTTGGATGGTAATGCAACTGTCTGAATTTTCGTCAGCCATTCTCCGTTACGAAAGACATTTCCAATTTCGTGGTATTCAGTGCTATAGACCTACTTCACGATCACAAAAATTTAAAGAGAATTCCAATAATCCAATTACCTTACAGCAAGCTGGTAAAACTTTATTTTCATCGGGCCAAGAATAGTTTTCCCGTTGAACCTTCGGGCCAAGAAGCCGCTCCTGGCACTATTTTTTAAAACTAATATCTACTCGCCGTTATAAACCTTGATAATGCCAACCAGAGTCCAGGATATCATATCCGAATAAATCACTAATAATATATTTATGTATTTCTAGATAGGCCTACGTATACATAAATTGTATTCAGTCAGTATAAATAATTTTGAGCAATGTAAGAATGTTTCACCCTCAGATATTTTCTCGCAAAGTTGCTCCGGCCCGCTGTTACTTCGACCCCCCAGTATGATCTGAATATGACAGGCAATATACCTGAGGTAGTCTCTCCTGCAGAGGATGAGGTCCGCCTTCGTGTAGAGCGTGGAGCCTACCTCTCCCAGTCTGCAGTTACAGCATCCGCACTTGAGACAGTCCTCGTGCCAGAAGAGGTCCAGCGCCTTCAGCAGAAACCTGCAATGGCAGTCAATTCAAAGTGGGATGGATGGCAGCACAAGTTATAGTACTGCTTGTAGGCATCAGTCAATTGAAAGTAAGTCAACAGCACAGGAAATTGAAAACTTCAGAGATCAGTTAGTGTGACAGGGCAATGTTAATTAAAAATACCAACCAAGTTACATGTGGGAGAGCAGTACAAAAGTGTTATTATATGTAACACTCAAAGTGAAAGAATGGCAGTACTTCATGCCACCTATTTGTAAACAACACTGAAGTAAAAATGACAAGCTGTAGGGGAGGGCGGGGGAATGGCGGTCAGGCACTTTTCTGACGAAAGGTACCAGATAGAAGCTTCAATCTTTGGTGCTTAGTAAGAAAGGTTTAAGTCAAGCGTGATTTTTACTGACTTAAACCGTTCTTAGTGAACACGGAACATATTCCCTATAGAGTTGATATATTGGCATTAAATAAACAAATAAATGTTGCCGCTTAAACTAAAAACAACACGATGAGGGTGTGACGTAAACGCAGAAATACAACTGTGCGTCCTATGGAAGTGTTGTTTGGCAACACGCTGTACACCACGACAGAAATTGTACTTTGAATCTAGAATCTGCTTCACACTTTGAAAAAATTACTCTCCAACATCAAACCTCTGCTGTAACTTCGAAATCATACTGTGTTTTAATTAAATACACGTATTGTTAGTGTTCAGTCGACCAATCGGAAGCCAGTATTATATTATGATATGATTTTAATTAAATAGTGAAGAAGAGTACTATTAGGGGACATCAGATGTAGAGCAGTAATATGTTCGGTGTAACAATTCTACGGATTTATTTCTGATTGCGACGAATTAGATGGACGTAAGTTATATAACGTTCCGGCTGCTTCATCCCTCAAACAAAAATAAAAGCCTTGTATGCACTTGACTGCAGGTTGGACGAACTCAAAAGTCGCCCTGAAGTGCCAAATGCCTCCTGTGGTGTAAGTCGTAGATAGTCTATTTAATGACTGAGTTTTTGGTCAAATGATTAATAGGCAAAGAAAATTTTATTCCGTACTTAAACAAAATATATTAATGAGCACGTTATCGTCCTAAATATGTTACTAAAATTGAAACGTTAAACTTTTTTCGGCATTTTAATAGAATCTGTCACAGATGTTTTGTATTCGTTTTATTTTATAGCATGGCACATAAGATATTCAACGAGAGACTTTAAAAATAAATTAATACATCGATTACTTCTCGTTCTTCTGTAACCCTGAAAATTGAAACACATCATAATATAATTCTGTTCTGTTTGTTAAAATTTGGTCTCTCTCAAAAAAGACAAGATGTCAGTTTGACGGTGTTTGAGAACAGGATGCTGAGGAGAATATTTGGACCAAAAAGAAAAATAGTGAGAGTATAATGGAGATAAATACACAATGAGAAGTTTCATAATTTGTACTCTACAAAAAATATTATTGGGTTTATCAAATCAAAATAATGAGATGGGCAGGACACGTAGCACACATGAGAGATATAATAAATGCATAAACATATTTTTTGCGAAAAGCCTGAAGGGAAATTCCGCTCGCATGTCCTAGACGTAAATGGGATGATAATATTAAAATAACCAAAAATAAATATTGTCGGGATTGGCGAGCTCTTGTGTAAAAACTTCGGGATACATAAAAAACTGACAATTTCTTGATTAGGAAGACGACTAGTACATTCGAAAGGAGGACTCTGTTCCACACGGTTAATTATTAAATAACTTCACATGTCTATGGTGTTTTACTGTATTTTCAAAGCTTTCAGCAAAATTTTGTGAATTTGATGTGTAAACGAATTGCCTGTTTTATTTTAAAATCGAACACGTGTATATAATACATTACATTTGAGGAAATATAATTTGTATCATTTTCCCGTCTAAATATTATTATCGCAATCATTTTCCGTTAGGCTTGAAAAAAATATTATACGCATTTCTTGTTGGGAAGCGTTAATTTTCTGGTGTATGAGACTCAACGCACTGATGACAGAGTTAGGTGAAGTCTCACGCTATGCAACTGCTAACATTCACTGCACCTGCATGGTTTCAATTTCCGCAACTTTTTACTTATTGATCGACTCGAGACCAGAAATCACGTATGAGTGAAGCGATAGGATGTGAAGGGGCCCTCCGCCGTGTGAAATATGAACGAAGTTGACAGCGAAATCGCGTCGCGGCAACCAGGTTATGAAAAACATAAAAAAAGTCTACTTTTGAACAAAATTAAAGAAAGAAATCATTCCAAGTAATCCACAGGGCCTTGAATGACTCAGCGATGCGCATACGGTAGCATATTGTATCTGCAGACATCTTGCGGCGGGGGACAGAACCTTATTAAACCTTGGCTTCAGGTCTTTGTGGGTACTCCTGCAAACATTGTGTTATTTTCTTAACACCAAACGATTGGCAAAGACCAGATGTTCAATAATAATAATAACGTAATACGACCACTGTTAACACTGTCAAACATCACAGCGTTGATTTCTTACTCATGCACTTTGATTCTTAGTGCAAGATGCACTGCATAAAACATTATGAGCGTAATGACGATAAATTTACTGGAATATTATTATGATCACAGACATCGATTATTAATAATGCATAAAACAAAGAAAAACATACATTCAAACATTTCAAAGAAATAAATGACAGAATATGGAGTTTTAGTAAACATTTATCTGTGACGTAAACACTCATTCAAACATTTCCATCTACAGAGACTAGTAGGAATTATTAATTACACAAGTCATAATTAGTTACTATTCATAATGCCCACTATGACCGCGTGGTCTGAGGCGTGGGCCTTCTGCCGCTTGGTCACTGGGACCGTGGGTTCAAATCCCACTCAAGCCATGGATGTCTGTGTTGTGCTGTCCTGTGTACAGGTAGAGGCCTTACGACGGGCCGATCCCTCGTCCAAGGAGTCCTACCGAATGTCTATAGATCAATATCAACAATAGTTGGGACCCGCAGATGCTCAAGGTACTGAACAACGGGTCGCTTAAGTATCCCATGTAAGTAATGCCCACTATTAAGAATTCTCTCTGCGCAAGCCCACAATTTTGACAGGAACACAGAAAAACTTCGTGCAGAATTTAAAATTAGGCCTACGTGTATGATCCTCTCCATAAAAAAATTCATACGTATTTGCAATAGTTCGTTAGTTACTAGAATCAATGAAAATTTTAAATAGTTTAAAGAAGGTTTGAAAGACATGTTTCCTTCTAAAGTAAGTAAAATAGGCTAAAATTGGCATTTATGATGACGAAAAGAGTAAAATCCATAAATTAAATTAATCAATTCGTACTTATTAATGATAATGCGCTCATATGGACTCGGGTACAGATTATTCGAGTATTTGGCTGAATACAGTTTCCAAGAACTGGCTTCGCAGCGATGACAAGAGATTTGTGTGAAAAGTCTGCAAGAAGTTTCCAGGAGGCCGTGTGCTGGGGACAGCTAAAAATGTGGGCACTTTGTAGCAAATGAATCAGAAACACGTTGTTATTCAGCGGACGCCAGATGGCGCTGAGGCAACATTAATACTTGCAGCGAGCTGGTGCTAGCTTAATTATCCACGCGGCTTTACATGCGCTAGGTATTACATGTGTGGTATTCACACCTCAATGCATAATAATTACGAGGCCAAGTTAATCCCACTCCTTTTCCTCCTCAACCGTTTCATCGTTTCTTATTTTTATCTTCTTGTTCATTTATTTTATATCCTCTCTAGTCGTCTTTCTTTCCTGCAGTCTCTGTTTCTCGGCCCGTTCACAATTGAACGTTGCATAAATGTCTGTATATACCCGTCCGCCACATCGCATGAAACTGGAAAACTGCTGGAAGAATTTTCTTGAAAAATTCCTCTCGAGTAACACGTCGATTCTGAACAGAATCCCGACGTTTCGCGAACTACACCTGAAATCTTCAAGTCTTAAACAAATGTTCTTTAAAATTGATATTGTTGAGTCCCGCTAACAGCGGTCAGCAAATTCCAATACAAAACAGAAAATTTACATAAAGAACTACAAGTTGAAATGATAATGAGACAAGAATCCACGCAACCACGTGGGAAATTTCCGAGGGAATTCCCCGCGGTAACGTATAGGCCTATCTGTAGTTATTCATTTATTTATCTGTTTATTACAGTTTGTGTACAGAGTCTCCTTCTATTGTCATAAACCCAGGTCGGAACATCCACTCCTAGACTAGGAAACCTTCCGCTGACAGCAAAGCATTCAGATCTTACTCACACACTGAAATGCAAGCAGTGAAGGAACAGACGAAGCTGTGAAAGTTACAATCATTTTCCGTTAGGCTTGAAAAAAATATTATACGCATTTCTTGTTGGGAAGCGTTAATTTTCTGGTGTATGAGACTCAACGCACTGATGACAGAGTTAGGTGAAGTCCCACGCTATGCAACTGCTAACATTCACTGCACCTGCATGGTTTCAATTTCCGCAACTTTTTACTTATTGATCGACTCGAGACCAGAAATCACGTATGAGTGAAGCGATAGGATGTGAAGGGGCCCTCCGCCGTGTGAAATATGAACGAAGTTGACAGCGAAATCGCGTCGCGGCAACCAGGTTATGAAAAACATAAAAAAAGTCTACTTTTGAACAAAATTAAAGAAAGAAATCATTCCAAGTAATCCACAGGGCCTTGAATGACTCAGCGATGCGCATACGGTAGCATATTGTATCTGCAGACATCTTGCGGCGGGGGACAGAACCTTATTAAACCTTGGCTTCAGGTCTTTGTGGGTACTCCTGCAAACATTGTGTTATTTTCTTAACACCAAACGATTGGCAAAGACCAGATGTTCAATAATAATAATAACGTAATACGACCACTGTTAACACTGTCAAACATCACAGCGTTGATTTCTTACTCATGCACTTTGATTCTTAGTGCAAGATGCACTGCATAAAACATTATGAGCGTAATGACGATAAATTTACTGGAATAT